ATATATATATATATATATATATATATATATATATATATATATATATATATATATATATATATATGTATGTATGTATGTATGTATGTATATATATATATGTATGTATGTATATGTATATGTATATATATACAGGGTGTATCAAAATAAACGCAATTCATCTTTTGTGCTTAATAACTTTCGAAATACTATTTCTAGTTAAACGCTTTTAGGCTTACTTCAAAGCCTGTTCTTTTCTCTTTCAAACAAACTATTATCCTTGTCTCCAATGCTAGTAATAATTGCACAGGAACAGATTTAGTGAAACCTATCATTTTTAGTTGCTGTTTAATTATGCAAGTTTACTATGTTATTGTTTAGTCGTATTAAATGTTAGAATTTTCTTCTTTAAACTTTAATGTTGTCGTCACTACATCTGGAAAACCACGTAAGAACAAATTAAAAGTATTTTAAAAGAGACCAGGTTGTTTGAAAATCCTAAACGAATGCTAAAAATCGTCAAAACATTCTGGTGTTTGAGCCAGAGTGTCATCGAGTTGCGATATAATGTAAACAGAAATTATAGCAAGTTGATGTCAGTCAGCATAGATGGTCCAAGCCAAAATTATATCGCATATTTGAAGTTTCAAACTGAGTTAAAAATAGTGGAAGAAAAGCCGTAGTTATACTTATTGTTACAATCCATTTAATAAAATGCAACATTTTTTTGTTTTAATGAAAAAATCAGTTATTTTCATGAGAACGATTTGTTATTCCATCTCAATTTTTTAATCTCCAATCGCAATAACGTAAAGTATTATTACCCGCGAACCAATGAGTCAAATTTAAGAAACAACCCACTGTTAGAAAGCTGAATGGCTACGTTTTAAAATGAATGTAAACTTTAACGTTTTCGTCTATTATTTGTTTAGCAATTTACATTTCAGTCGAGGATTGCGCTTTTTTGATACACCCTGTATATATATATATATATATATATATATATATATATATATATATATATATATATATATATATATATATATATATATATATATATATATATATATATATATATATATATAGTGAGCGGAAGTTGGTATTCCGAAATATTTAGCATATAGTGGAAACACATAGTGGAAACACAACAAAACAAAGAGCATGGTTTTTTATCGCGATCGAGACAAAGTGACATTATATTTTAGTTTCTCTTTATATTTATAATTCTTTTTATGAAATAAATAGTAAAATAACCAAAAGTGAGATTGGGAGTTATTGTACCGACGAATATATATATATATGTATATATATATATATATATATATATATATATATATATATATATATATATATATATATATATAATATATATATATATATATATATATAATATATATACACAGCTAATTCAAAAAAGGTTGTCCTTTGCAAACCTTAGACTGTAAACCTTAAATCTTAAACTCTAAGCGCGCAAAGCATAATGGGAGTACTGATTTCAAGTTTTGTAGTTGAATATTGCAGCTGTTTGTGAGTGAAATGTTTTCGCAGGCACATATTTACCATGTCTCTAAGAAATGGGCCCCATGTATGCTTTCTAAACTGCTTAAATAGTGCTCCCATTACGCTTTGCGCGTTTAGAGTTTAAGGTTTAAGGTTTTAGAGTTTAAGGTTTTCAAAGGTTTTCACCTTTATTGAATTAGCTGTGTATATATATATATATATATATATATATATATATATATATATATATATATATATATATATATATATATATATATATATATATATATATATATATATATATATATATATCTCGAAATATCGAAATATATATATATCGAAATATCGAAATATCGCCCAACCCTAGTTAATACTGACTTAGTTATTTTGAAGGCAAAATGTATCGATTGTCTAAGATTTAAGATTTAAGATTTAATCATAAATTTCCAAAATTGCAGTAACAACTGAATTGCTTTGGAATTTGCCTATACATAGTATATCAGAATAAAATATTTGCTATATATATGCTATATACAGGCCTATTTGCAAGTAATATAACAACTTTTTTTGGTATATATATATATATATATATATATATATATATATATATATATATATATATATATATATATATATATATATATATATATATATATATATATATATATATATAAGCAGCTGCAGGGTGAAACAGTTTGGAAAATGTTCAGTTCTACATCTGGGCACTAGCAGGTTGGGATAAGTCCTCAAATCGTATGTTTGGAGTTTTTTTGGGGGGAACGAACTTAACGAAGGCATTCCGTTTGTGAGTGGGTAACATCATATTTAAAAAAGTACATACGGTTCTACGTTAGTAAAGAGTCGTTAATTTTGCATTCGACAAACATTCGGCAAACATTCGGCATAGTCAACACCTGGAAAGATAATTTTGAGTGCTCTCTTTTGGATTTTCTCCACCTGATCGTTGAGGTACTGGGGAAGACTGTAGTGAAAAGTATAATGGGAAATATCAACGTGCATCCTGCCTATTGTAATTTAACATTGTAGGCTTGCATACATCTTTTTTTCACTTTTAATATTATATTTCTGTTTAATAGGCATTGCGAATGAGTCAGGCGTCCATGGGTTACACTGATACTGGACAAATTATAAACCTTGTTACGAATGATGTTCAAAAGCCTGAAGAGGTAAAACTTATTTGACAGTAAACCCAAGTTTGTTTTGTTTAAAATATTTCGACATCAAATGGTACTGTATATAAACTGCTTTCGCGATCTAATCCGAATGACGTCATTGAACCCACTGAGTTAAAGATATCAGAGTTTACAAAGTCTGGCCTATGTCACCGGCCTTACTATAAGAAAGGTCTGTGAACTTTGGCGGGATTGCTTGTTCTTGCGTAAATCAAATCTCAGTTTTGGGGATTTAATTTATATTTTGGTATGTTACTCCATCTATAACTAAAATATTTAATCGTTTATACACTGTTCTAGTTTTTGTAGCTTTTTAATGTCCTAACATCGAAATATATGTGATTTTGAATGATTTGTGATGGTTAATGTAGGTTAATCTTAAGGCCTTGTCACACTATTGTGTATGAGAGAAACATGAGAAGCGTATGAAAATGAGTGAAATAATTTGAAATGCCCGCGTATGAGTACCGTACATCTGGTGTACCTCTAGCGTATTCAGCGTGTGCCTAGAGTACGATACGCAATAGTGTGACAGGGCCTTTACGTGTGGCCAACTGGAATTTGACATTTTCGTGGTCACAACAAATTTTGGGATAAAATTGTTGAAAGATGAAAAAATGTTTGAGGGGGGCAGTGGTGACGGCACTTTTCACGGATCCCCAGCTCAAAAGGGCCAGCCAAAGCAAGAAGGCCCTTAAAACGTTTTGACACGAGATTTCTATAATCATCAAAGATTACGAATAATGGCATTTTGGATTTATTCCCGCTTCGGGATAACTGATTATTCCGCGTCAACCCAAATTCTATTTTTACTTTTAGGCTGTGCTATTTAGTCTGTTCTTGATTCCTGCACCAATTCTCCTTGTGGTCACCTCCTACCTGTGCTGGCGAGAAATTGGGTATTCATTTCTTCCTGGAATAGGTGTTCTTTTCCTTTTACCTGCTTTACAAACTTGGCTCGGGAGATTTTATGCCTCTTTCAGGTAAGTTTCAAGTTAGGTATTATATTATGTGGTAAGAGTGAACGTGAACAGCATTCGACAATATGAGCACTTTACATCATTTTTCTAAATGCAAGTCCTTTTTGAGACAAAATTCAGGTACGAGGCAGTCTACATACTGTCATACAGACATTTACCACCAAATAGGCTTCATGAAACTGGAAGTAATTTGCATCATCAAAATGGAGTATTCTTCCACAACCATAGGCGCCAACTGCACATGCCATCAAGCGCAATTGTTTAACCAAGTTTTCGGTTTACACAGCGAAAATGATTTCATTGATTTGGCTGCATGACGCTAGCTAGATGAATTTATATTCATCGGTGTGTTATGAGCCATGATGCACTATTCAGTGCATATTACCTTGTGATGCAAGCCTTGTAATCCCTTGTGTTCACAATATAAAATAAATATATTAGGTTTTTTTCAATACTTCATTGTAGGGCAAAGACAGCTGTTCTTCGTGACAAAAGAATAAAGGTTATGAATGAAGTAATATGTGGTATGAGAGTTATCAAGATGTATGCTTGGGAACATCCATTTGCCAAGCTAGTTGGTAAGATTAGACGGTACGTAACCTAATTATTATTCAAAATTCTTCTTTCCACACCCACTTCTTATAGCATTCCAAACCAAGGCCCTATTTAAATTTGTGTCAGTAGTGAAACAATCTAGAAATGACGGGTTCAAGTCTTGTGTGGTAATCCTGCCATTCCATCTGGTGCTGTATAGTACAAGCAAGAATATAAACATTGTTCTCTTTATAATTTTAGGAAGGAGGTTCAAAAGGTTCGGAATACGTTAAGGCTGAATGCGGTGAATGCCATGTTCTATCTTGCCACTATTCCATTGGTTTCAGCAGCAATGTTCATACCTTACGTTCTGACTGGACACACGCTCAGCAGCGAGAAAATGTTTACAGTTGTCTCAATTATTTCATCAGTCAATGTTGTGACATCAGTGTTTGTACCAAGGAGCATTATAAGTCTGAGAGAAAGTGGTGTTTCATTGGAGAGAATAAGGGTATGCGTGCTTTATGTTTCATGTGGTCAATGAGTGATCGTAATTTAATGTCGATTATATAAGGTGTGATTGCGGCTCATTGCCTAAGGCCTACGAGTTCGAGACACAGGAAATAATCAACCTAACTCTACTTTCAAGAGTTTTCAAGTACAGGGAAGTTACCCATCCTAAGCAAATCCTCGACCTATACTGGCTTAATGCAGCGGCCATTTACAGCGGTAACTGCACCTACCACTCGTAGCTCACCAATGTAATGTTCATGCAGAGTAACCAGATGTTCAAACAAAGTTTAAATCTGTGAGCCTCTGTCAAAATATATTCTGGTTCAGGTGCATGTGATACCTGTAAAAACATAGGGTATAAGAAAAGAAAGAGTTTCGCTGTAGTTAGTCCATTTACCCTATATAGGTCTCCCGAAAAAATTACAGCAGTATTGCATCATTACAGCATGTATATTATTTCCCCAAGGTTGGCAAAGGTTGCCGGCTGGCGGCCCGACGTCAAGCTAAAGTAAAGCTCTTTGATTGGTTTGCTGAAACCCGAGCCAATCAGGGAGCTTTATCTAGTGATGTCGGGCCGGCAGCCGTCATCCCGCATAGGTTTGACAAAATTCAGTGAAAAATTTCGAAAAATTTGATGAATTTTCGCAAAAATTTACTTGTTTTAATTAGTTGGTTTTTTAATATGAATTTAGTTGTTCATGTACGAGTTTTTCGTCATTTAGTTTTTGTATACAGTGTTAAATTTGGTATTTTTTTATGCCAACCTTTAGTTCGTATGCTCTGACCTCGAAAAGTGCCTAGAAAGCGATTTTCATTTCACCTGTCTTGGAATTGAAATATTTTTACGGGACTAACACTTTCGAACACGCTGAGTTTAAATCCGAAAAGTTCCCGCTCCTAGCTTATACCTGCAGTTTTCTCACAAACTGCAAATTTATCTTCACTAATTTCACGACAAATTTTTTCATTGTTCAACGACACGGATCGACGACGACAAACGATTATGTCACTGAACAAGACGAATTTCTATTAACAAAAGACCGGTTTTGCTCGAATCATTTTGAGTTATGTTATATTATGCGTGCATGTTGAACGTAAACAACATATCTTGTCTACAACTTTGGGAAGGTACAGATAAAGCTTTCTGAAATCCTCAGTTCTGACTCTATCTCAATAAAATTACAAGGACGTTAATGCTAAGTCTTTGGCCATGTCTCTGGGCTGAGAAATAATTCCTTACATGCGACCAAAATGTTTTATACAACGATGTAAAACGGTAATGTTATGTGATGGGTCAGCATTTAAATTTCCAACACAGTTTTTGAGACGTAATTCAAGAGGTAATTTATCATTGCATATGAACTATTATATCAGTTGGTGTTATTCTTTGCGATTAGCAAGTATTATTGGAAAGAGGGCTTTCATATACGTTGTAATCACCAAATAAACAGCTCATGCACACATTTCTCCACTTCGTCGAAAGTTTACAGAGCAGATTTTATTCTTTGGCACTGCTATTTGTCTTTGATGTGAACATTTATTCTTCTAGTTTAAGATTATTTAAGAGTGATCCTGTCGTAAGTCTTCTACCAGCAACCCATCGACAATATTTCATTTTAGTGTTGTCTTTGCCGTTCCGTTGGCTTCGCGTTACTTTTGTTTTAAATACCTTGATCGCGTTAAAAGAGGTATTTCTCAGCCCAGAGACATAGCCAAAAGACGTAGCATTAACGTCCTTGTGATTTTATTGAGATAGAGCCAGAACTGAGGATTTCAGAAAGCTTTATCTGTACCTTCCCAAAGTTGCAGACAAGATATGTTGTTTACGTCCAACATGCACGCATAATATAACATAACTCAAAATGATTCGAGCAAAACCGGTCTTTTGTTAAAAGGTAGACTGGTTAATAGAAATTGGTCTTTTCGAGTGACATAATCGTTTGTCGTCATCGATCCGTGTCGTTGAACAATGAAAAAAGTCGTGAAATTAGTGAAGATAAAATTACAGTTTGTGAGAAAACTGCAGGTCTACGGAGCGGGAACTTTTCGGATTTGAACTCAGCGTGTTCGAAAGTGTTAGTTCCGGTAAAAATATTTCATTTCCAAGATGGGTGAAATGAAAGTGAACGATATCGGGACGCAGCAAACGGCCTACTTGGGGAAATAATTAATTAGCCGTTTCCCAAAGTCCTGGGTCTAGTCGCGCAAATCCCATGCTGGCGGGACAAGAATATGGCAGCACACATTTAAATTAAAACTTTAATGTAAAAAGGAGATATTTCATTTTTGGTCGTCTAAAAAGTTGATATTTGATAGCAGATACTTTTACTCTTTCACATATTTGACGCCTGTCACCATATATTAGGCAACTTTAGATTCGCTACGGCTACGAAATCTAGTACGACTACGAGATTTTTTACATTAAATATCAGCTACTAAAAACTTATAATAGTACGTGGTTTGGCGCAACTGTTTCCATAAAGATGTAGTATGCAAAAGAAAGGACGATAAAAAGTCTGTAGTAGCAGATATTTAACGGAAAAAAATCTCGTAGTCGTACCAGATTTCGTAGCCGTAGCGAATGTAAAGTTCCCTATTTTGTCCCTCCAAACGATCCCAGAATGCACTGTGATCTCTTTTGGGAAAAGGCTAATATGCATAATTATGCATATACCGCCTTTTCGGGAGACCTATATGCATTTACATCTGTGCTCATTTCACGCCAATTCATGACATAAGTGAATCTTCTTGCGCTTGCGGTTATATATTACCTATTTTGTCGATGAATCTGGCTTAACTTTAAAATATCGATGATAATTACTCCAACGGTCTGCGCCAGCGTAGGTACTGTAGTGACAAAAAAACACCAGAAAACTGCGGATTGATAGGGATTCAACCACTGAGCTGTATAATAACTGGAGGATCTGCTCCTATACTTCGTTCAGTCAACGAAGTGATGCCAAAAACATGGCGGATTTTCAGGCAAAATGACGCCATTTCCATGACAACACTTTGTAATAAAGATTCGAATTTGACCTACATTTTCGCTTTAAAACCACTCGCAAACACAAAAAACAATAATATATTTTCAAGGCACAAAAATACAATAATACATGTGCTTAACCCTTTTCCTTATATGGAAACACTAACCACTGAACTATTTAAAAAGTGATAAACACACAAACTGTTCAAATATCAATACACTTAAACTACAAATTTTTTAAATGTTACAAGATGTTCTCTTCTCTTGAATACATTCCTTTTCTACTTCCTGACCAGTTTCTAAATCTTCTAACGTAGATTTCACTTCAATGGGTACGAGTTGTTCAATTGGTCTTCTTGTAACGAACTTACTCCCTAACTTAATTTCTGCTGCTCGAATGTTTCCATCCCTTCCTGGAAGTAGTTTTTCTACACGAGCCAGTTTCCAAAATGCTCTCGGCGTTGTTTCGTTTTTGACGATGACGATCTCTCCTTGGGAAATCGTTGAACCTGAGTTTCTTTTGTGCGACTTCGCTAACGACTGTTCACGCAACCCGGTGAGATATTCTCGTCGCCACTGTTTCGTAAATTGATCCAACACTTGCTTATGACGACGCGCTCTTCTTGTCAAGGATCGATTAGTACTAACAACTTCGTGATGGGAACTGTTTGGGGTACTCGTAATACGCCTACCGTAAATCAGGTGAGAGGGTGTTAAAGGCTCGTAGTTACATTCTTGATCATCAGAAACATAGGTAAGAGGTCTAGCGTTGATTAATGCCTCGATTTCAACTAAAATGGTTTGTAGCTCGTAGTAGGTTAAGGTAGATCTCCCAACAATACGTTTTAGTGGCCTTTTAACGCTGGCAACTAATCGTTCCCAGAATCCTCCCCACCATGGAGCACGCTCAACGATAAAATTCCACTTGACTCGTCTTTCTACCAAGTATTGCCGTACTTCTTCAGATCCAATAATTCGTTCTATGTCCCTTTTTGCTGACTTAAAGGTCTTAGCATTGTCAGACGTTATCGTGGCTGGCAACCCCCGTCGACTGGCATACCGCCGGAACGCAAGTAGGAATGCTTGTACACTGAGACACAAAGTTAATTCAATGTGAACTGACCTGGTCGACGCGCACGTGATCAAGAGAACGTAGGCTTTAACGTTGGGGTTAGACTCGCCGTTTTCTGTTGGTTTGGTTTCAAACATCGATTTGATGAAAAACGGACCCGCGAAATCCAACCCAATATGAGTGAAGGGAGGGTCGCTCGAAACTCGAAGTCTGGAAAATCTGGAGTTGGCTGGGGCTTGAACGGTTTTCCCCCGTACTTTCGACAAACAACACAGTGCCTAATTAATTTCTTAACAACCTCTCGTCCCCGTAAAATCCAAAACCGCCCTCTTATAGTTGTTAAAGTGTCACGAACTCCACTGTGTTTGATTTCGTTGTGGGTATGCAGGATCAACAGATTGACGAATGAGTGTTTGTTGGGAAGGAATATCGGATTCTTGCTATCTAGTGGGAGAGAAGACTCGTTCAATCGTCCACGAGAGCGTAGTACACCAGCCTCATCCAAGTACAGACCAAACTGGATAATTTTCGATGCTGAATCCCTGGAGCCAGTGGTGTTCTTTCTGGCATCGCTCAGTAACTTTATTTCTTCGGGAAAACATGATATTTGCGTAGCACGTATCCATAACACTTCCGCCGTGTTCAAGTCTTTAACATCTTCATTACGGTTTTCCTGCGGTCCTCGCGATATCTTCGACTTTAATAGCTTGATAAAACGCAGTACAATAACCGTAACCCTCAACAACCTTTGGAAACTACCGTACCGTTCAATGGTCATTACCTTGTCGATTCTCGCTGTAGCTTGCGTGGGATCATGGTTGAGTAAAACGTGCGTAATTTTTGGTGGGGCCTTTACTTCTTCGTTTTTAGCATCCTCATTACATTCTATCGTTTGATCCTCTGATGGCCACTCACTCGATGGTTGGCGTAGAAATTGTGGACCATTCCACCAAACCTCGTTACTAGCTAGTTCCTTTGCATCAAGTCCTCGAGAGGGTAAATCAGCCGGATTAACTACCCCGGGACAGTACTGCCAAGCGGACGTGCAACTTAAATTACGAATTTCATGAACTCTGTGTTGAACGTATTGTTTCCAAAGTTTATCATTGCGAATCCGACAAAGAGCAGTCATTGAATCAACCCAATAGGTACAAACAAGTTCTCCAAGCACCTTAATAATTTTGTCACAAAGTCGTACCAATATGAGGGCTCCGAGAAGCTCGAGGCGAGGAATGCTTTGTCGTTTCAACGGGGCAACTTGGATCTTCGATGCTACCAACCGAACTTGAATTGTGCCATTTTCATATACTGATCTCAGATAGACTACAGCTGAATAGGCATGAATCGAAGCATCGCTGAAACCATGAAGCTCGAGATTACTTGGCTTTGATCTAGCGTCAAAATAACATCTGGGAATACGCACGGAATGAAGAAGTGATATATCTCGAATAACAGCTTGGAATTTCTTGAGTAAATCTCCAGTTAGTTCTTCGTCCCAATCAACTTTGTTCGTACACAAAACTTGGAATAAAACCTTCATCAGTATTGTCAAAGGCGCAAGATATCCAAGGGGTCAAATATCTTCGCTGTGAGCACAAGTAAAGATCGTTTAGTCATTGGGAGTGACGTTGCTTCTTCCTTCCACCTTTCGAAATTGAAGAATATTTCAACGGACCTTGTATTCCAGTTGGCACCTAACACCTTTACAGTATTATCGGCTGTATCGATCGTATTGTGTCCGGTTGTCGACTTAGCGTAAGACTCGTCCTCTTCGAAGGTTTGGCAATTAGGTTGCATAAGGCTACGGTCGGGTGGTTTCTCACTACCAAGTTCGTTGGACTCAATTTTTGCGAGAAGTTCGTCTGAATTCGAATGCCACTTTCGAGGATTGAAACCCCCCGTTGCCATAATTTGTTTTGACCCCTTGTAAATTTGGAATGATTCTTCGACGCTATCTTCACCAGTGATAATATCGTCCACGTAAAATGAATTT